CATGTGAGGGAATATCCCAATGAGTTGTAAGTTGTAAGTATAAACGGTTGAAATATTTGATTCGAGCAAGCTGTAAGTTGTTAATTAACAGAACTGACTCACCAACCTGCTGATGGATAGGGGTGGGATTCCATGAAATAGCAAATAGCAGTAGCAAACAAAAATGGATGAGGATAGGGATTAATATATGGGTTAAATATAGAGGTTAAATATAGGGGTTAACCATTGGCTGTTCTTGATTCCATCGACAGATCCTGGTTGATGATGAGAATCCCCTGTTCGCCAAAACGGCTGGGTGGACTTAGCCAGGTCAAACTCAGGCTTTGCCATCAAACCATTTTGCCAGAACTGACTCACAAAAACAGAGAGCTACCACCTAGGTCACCTAGGACCTAGTTCTGGCTGATATTTTCTTGAGGGTTTGACATGGTTTGACCGTTTGGACCACCAAGTTCCATCGGTTTTTTGTAAAGATATCTTTGAGCCACGCTGGAAAGACGTGGAAAGACCTTATGGCTGACCGACCAAAAACCCCCCAGCAGCAGCGCCTAGGCTGGGCCCATGGCTGTAGATCATCATCACTGCCGGCCACAGATGGACGCACAGATCCCAGAGTTGCCACGCTACCCGGCACCAGCGGCTGGTCATCGGGGCTCCTGCGCAACACGACCAGTCGATCCTGGCATTGGAAAATTTGGAAAGGTCGGTGAATAGACTGAGGATAGTCATGTTGGTAAAGCAATCATAAACCATCCATATGTTCATGGTTTATACCATCCATTCATGGTAAAATTGCGAAAATTGATGAAAATTGGGGATGGTTTACGATTGCTTTGCTAAAATTACTTCCAACATGTTTAAAAAAAATCGGCTTCTTGATTGTTTGGGCCGATTAATAGTGGTCAATGTTTGCATTACCCGGACTCGGAAGCCAACTTTGACCGACAATTACTGAGAGATTCGCAGCAAACTGCAGCGAGCCGCAGTGATTGGAGAGTTTCAAGATGTCCAACTGGTACTTCTTGGCCATTACCGAAGCGCAGCACTCATTTCTGCGACATGAAACAACATAAAACATGTGAACAGTGTGAACTCTATTCCAAGAATCTTTACTCCTCAGAAACCAGAACACCCTTGTCTTTCTCGTTTTCTAGAAACGTTTTGGCAGTTGGGCCCCTACCCCCCGGCCGTGCCGGCGAGTTGTCGTTGTGTTTTCTCCTGCCCACAAGGCCGAAATGGCCGCAGCGTGTTGAAACCGCAGACCATACCAAGTCAAAAGCACCGAGAGCGATAGAACGGTGGCCACGCCCAAGAGGAACCTCCATGGAGCGTTTTTGTTGAATTTTTCATGAGGGTTTCATGGAAATTTCATTGGAATTTGCGGTGAAAAAAGGGAACTCAACAAGAATAGAATGGGAATACAATTGGGAAATATGGATGTAATTGGAAATACTTGGAATTAGTGGGATAGACGATGAACTTGAAGTTCATGATAGTTGGCTGTGTCTGGATTCATGGGGATAGAAAACCAAGGATGGTAGGAGCATCATGATGATGGTAATTATCGCTACGCAATACTGGTCTCATTGTTAGCTGGTTGGTGGTTGACCTACCCCTCTGAAAAATATGTGTCAAATCGGAGTATTATTCCCAATATCTGGAAAAATACAATTCATGTTCCAAACCACCAATCAGTTATGTTTATAGTTGATTTACCTATTCATTGAATAGTTGATTATAGATTATATTAACCATTAATAACCATCAATAACCATCGTTAGTATATTAATAACCATCAATGAGGAGGATCATTGTCAGGGCCGACCATCACGCCGTACACATGGCACCAGATGTCACCAGCTCCTTTGGCCCGCCTGGTTTGAATGGCATAGGCCGCCAGCAGAACCAGCCACCACGTGATGGAAAATGGTAGACGCAGGTAGCCTAACCAAGTTGCACAACAGGCCACGCAAGGAGATAGCCAGAACGACAGAAAAACAACGGAGAAAAACACATCTATAAACTTGTTGTCTTCGGATCTTTTGGCAGTGTTTTGAAGCATCCTGAAACTGGAAACAACTTCAAAGCGTGAAAAAACATGGAGACCTAACATGTAAACAATGACCTGACATGATGTTGGAAATTGCCCCCACCCTTTTGTCACAACATCTACAAAGTTTATTTCAACGGTGTAGTTCTTTCATCTTCCCCAGGGGTCCCAGCCTGTTCCAAGTGCCAAGCCTAACAGCAACAGCACCTCGACGAGAATGTTCTGCCTGAGTTAGACAAGGCAGCATAAAATTTGTTTCATGGAACACATCTCCAAAAATCTTCATGAATAGAAGTGGAACAACATGTATATAATATTGTATATAATTACATTCAAAAAACATAAACAAAAAAAAAAACTATAGCTTCATGTTCATGTTCAACGTTCATGATCTCTTTTTTTCTATATCTTCATATGTTTTCCAGACGTGTCCTCGGCGCCCAACGTGCCCAGCGCATCAGTGTCGCTGGGATGTTCAGCGTGCCAGTTCTGCAAACCGATGAGGACTGGAACCTCGAGAGGTGGAGACATGGCGAGACATGGCGTCATTTTGTGACATGGTTTCTGTATGGGATTTTTTCACCAACCTGGGATGTTTCGCTTTTTGATTGGCATTGGCATGTAGCATATGTAGCTTGGATATATCATTAATGACATAATATGAGATATTATAACCAACTGAATGAGATCATCTTTGGGCTGTGGTCATGCCACCAATGCGATTGGGATTCCCGGTTCATTTCGTCTACTTCTTCCTAAGATGGGGGCGGCATGATCATCGTTTTGAGCATGGCACACACGGCCCTGAGTCTGGTTTCCTAGTGGAAGACATAGAGATACCCATGAGATATCTCCTCCGGTGCACCCTCTGGTAAACATACAGAAAACTATCACCATTTTTAATGGGTAAATCGACTATAAATAGCCATTTTCAATAGCAAACTTTTAGTTTACCAAACGGTAGATGTGTCCTTCTGAGCAAAAATCTGATATGTGGCACATTCAAGCATTGAATTTTCACCAGCTAGTCTGGGAGATATGATAATTTCAGGAAATCCAGAAATGGGAAAGATGTTGAAATGGGCCTGTTTCTTGTACACTACTGTGGATGGAAGAAATCCTCCCCGCCAAAAGGAGGGTTGAAACCCAAACAAAATAACAGGATGTTTACCATCTATCAACTGGTGATTCGGATTTTGCAACCATCCACAGTACTGTATTTGATCTATTTGCAACCTCAAAACTCATAAAGTCCTCGGTGCTTGGGATCATCATCTTATCTGTCGACGAACTCCTAGAGTCGGTAGAGATTCGACCCTCTTCCAGCTGGGATACCATCCAAAATACGAATACACTCTTCAGTGACATGCACATATGTCTATATAATATATATATATTGTATAATTCTAAACATTATAATATACAATTAATATAAATGACATTAAATTAATCAATTACATATCCCATATGCTCCATGTATGGTATATTTACCTACATTTTTAGGGCAAATGTTGGTAAATATTCCATGTATGGAGCATATGGGTATATATAATAATTCACTAACCTGAATTAAGGCCCATATCTATATTTATATATGTATATATTCTATTCATATCTATTCATGTCTATTTTAGATCTATGTCATGTTTCCGCGTTGCTCACCATCCCATGCCGCCGGGCGACGGCAATCAACGGAACCCGGGACTTCCAGAGGTACTGCACCGGCGTCCAACTTCCAGGAACCTGCCGACGCTTCGCGTGGTCGGTATGTGGTCGGTAGGAAAACCCATAGGAAAATGGAGGTTTCATGGGACTTACAGTGATGGGATTTTATGGTGGTTTAATGGGATCTAATGGGATTTAATAGGATTTACCCGACCTGGTAAACGTTTACAGAAAACGAACTGGAAAGATCCACCATGCGATTTTTATGGGAAAACTCATTATGAAATGGTTAGTATATGGTCTGGTTGGTGGTTAAAAAACCATCTTGAAAACTATGAGTTAGTCAATGGGAAGGATTATCCCATATATTTATATTATGGAAAATAAAAAATGTTTGAAACCACCACCCAGTAGTATTGTTAGGTTACTAAGAAAATACTACTATGAGAAATATATAGCTTTTATTAATAGTTCTATCAGAGGTTCTACTCAGATTTGTTGTTCGATTGGATGAATTGGAGGCTCCTTTTCTATCTTTTTGGGAGTTCCTATAATTAAATCAAAATCGATAAGGGTTCATGGATCATGGCAACAAGGGAAAATTCCAGCAAACAACAGGCCTCCAGATGTGGTTTCCACAGGGCACCAAGGGTTTTTCATCGCTAAAATTCTGCGAGGAACTCCGTAAAAGTTACCAGAAATGGGAAAAGGAAGCGAAGCTGATCTAGAGAGTCATAGAATATCATAGAACTGGTTGAAGGGAGAATTTATCAGATACATCTGTGTTTGATGGTAGAGCCGGCAAATTAGTAGCAAAGCAACAACAAAAGTAGCAAAGCAACAACAAAAGTATCTCTGGAAGGAATTGGGAATCACAACTCTTCATCTGTGTTTGGCCTACCAGAGAAACATGAAATCTCTTAGTTTTTTTCGTCTTTTGCATCAACAACATGTGAAAGCAACCCAGTGATACCCTGGAGATCCAAAGGCTGCCCAACATCCACCAACATAGCGGATCTTGGTAGCCATGTAGCCATGGCATCTGTCACATCCTCAAGAACTTTACCACCATGCAATCACTCAAATGCCCTGAAAATTGGGCACAGCGCACCCCAATTCCAATGGAAAAAATGCCAATCTTTGGGCTTCCAGGATGTCCAATAAATTGGATAAACCCACCAAAACCATATTCTGATTCTTGATAAAATATCCCATTGCATCCCACTGTCTCACAAAATCATGTTTTTTCCACTCCGATTCTAAATGTTGAAGAAAACTCGTTTGCTGTTGAAATGAGCTAGAGGGGAATTCGGAATCTCAATATACCCTGTGGTAAACTAACATAGCTATGGACGGACTTTCCTGATTTATAGATGATTACAAACTAGGTAAATCAGGTAAATTATCACTACGAATAGATTATTTGCCTACTAATATCTAGCCAATTTATAGATTCTTTACCTATTTGGTTTACTTAAAAGTGGTGACTTTCCATAGGACATACTGGTGGACCCAGCCTTCATGCTGATTCAACGGAGTGCTGGTAGCCACATCAGTTGTCGATGATCAGATGCGTATTGTTCATGTATGAAATATAGCCTGTACATACATAAATAATCTATAACATAAATAATCTATAATATGTATCCTGGAATTCCAGTTGTGGTTGCTGACGTTTCGAATTAGTTTAATGTTTGATGTCCTGATCTGTTCTCAAATTCTTTCACGTGTTGGGTGCACAAGACATGGTTCATCAATAGCTCTTGGCAGTTGTGTCGTCACTGTATCGTCGTCAGCATTGAATTATTTGAGATCCTGCGTGCTGACTTCCTCTCACTACAGGCGTTTGTCTGATGCCTTTTTGTGGTCGAGATCGAAGGTGTTTACACTGCAGATTGGATGTTTTGGTCCCAAAAGGCAAAAATATATGAGCTACCCTCTGGTAAACATACAAAAAGCTATTGAAAATTGCCATTTATAGTTGATTTTCCCATTAAAAATGGTGATTTTCTATAGCTATGTTAAATTACCAGAGGCTACATGAAAGGTGGACCACGCTCCAAATTTACTCGAGCCAGATCCTGTGCGATGCACATACGACCAGGCCGCCTGCCTGACTGCTTTTTAAAAAGTTTGGATATAGCACCCAGTTGGAACTGACACTTGGCCCAACTCAATGATAACAATAACCAAATTCCAAATTCCATTTACAACTATGGTTCAATATGAGGCGATCTTGTACAGGGGTTGGTAAATGTCCTAATTTTGAACATCACCCAACTATTGGGGATATAATCACCAACAAATACTCGAAAGTGATGTGAAACAAATCCCCCAAACAGAACATTTACCAACCCCTGTTGTATCTAACTGCTTTCTGACTTCCATTCTGAACCCAGCACCTCAGTTCCAAAAAGATTGATCCTCAAAATGTACGAAACAGACTTCCAGAAAAAAGTGGTCCTCAAGGGGGAAAAATCTCTGAAAATATAGTATCCCCATATCCACTGATGATTCATAATTGCCCCTATTATGATTTTCAGAGATTATGATATGGGGATACTATATGTTCATATCCCCTATTAATAATCAGTGGATATTATCCACTGATATGGGGATACGATTCATATCGATTCATATTGCAATTATGGACGTCCATCCCCAGTTTCATTGTCGCACCTATCCGCTGATCATTTTGTGGCAGCATGGCGCGTTTGGATGCAGCAATCAATGGCCATTTCAGGTACACCCTGGTTGAATGACAGGAACATCATATAGAAAACTCATCGCAAACTCAAATAAACCGGGGTGGTGAAAATGATGATAACCATGATAAACTCAAATAAACCATCAGTTTTTCAGGGAGACATATCTTTTTCGCTGAAAAACTGGTCATCATTGACCGAGGTTTTTTTTCGTCTGTGGATGATTCCCCCCAATCCCAGCGACATTGTGACATCGTTGAGCTGTCGTAACTTGACTTAGCTCTTCACCAATTGAATAGGATATTCATGGGATCTTCATGGTGATACAATATGATATAATGGTATAGGAATTGTTTAAGATCACGGTTGATCATGGTTAAATAATCCCTTCCCAATATGAAGCACCAGATTTACCCATGGTTTCTTGGAGGGGATGGAACCACGACTGGGACTTTTGGATGATGGGATGGGATAGGGCTGCTATCGAAATCAAGCCGATTTCGGAAGTGTTTCAGTTGCGGTGGGAAGTGTTGAGTAACTCCAATTAACTCCTCATTTGGTTGGATATCTCCCAAGATTGGTAATTGCATGAAACTGCATGCAGTTGCTAATTCTCAGAAATTGCTGGTTGATTCACAATGTTTGTTCGTTGACTCCTACTGTTGGAACCTGTTGGAACCTCCCGAGCCAAGATGATTCGTGCGCTTCTGCGTGGGTCACAGTAGCCGTGGGACCCAAAAAACTCGACGATTTCTACATTTGGAGGACTCGACTTGGTGGATAGCCAAATAGCCTCTGACCCAAATAGCCTCTGATAGCATGTCCCCCCCATACAGGGGAACGTCTCTAGATTCTCTTAGTGTGGCCGGTGGTACATCCCCCCCATGACAGGCTCCGGAGGCTGGTTGAATCAATTCCCAGGAGGGTTCATCACCTCCTACCGTACATCTGCATGGAGCATGTCGACAGATTTAGAGGCTCCCTGCGTGTCCCAAAAACACCTCAGCACGTGCCTATTTTTTTGTTTTCATATCATCTCTGAAAACTCACCAGAAGCTTGAGAAACAGCAAATTCAGCAATTCAACATCTTAAAACCCAGTAAAAATGGTAGGAATTTATTCATGAAAAATAGCGAGTTTCCATCGAACATGGACCAAAATTCAGCCAAAATTCCGCCAAATTCGCCCCAAAACCCCAAGGATTTCGCCACCCCAAGGGGATTCCAAGGGGATTCCCGTCCAAGGCCGGTCCTTTTAAGCTACGCCGCATGGGCATCGCCGTGGCTGTGGCCGCCGTTTCGCTCGTGGCGCTCCGCCAGGTTCCGACGACAGAAAGGACAGGTCCTGGAGGCTTCCAGCCAGGTCCTCGATGGGATCGACTTAGATGAGATTATTATCTGGTTGGAAGATTATAATATAATAGATCATGATCATAATTATTATGTGATATATATATAATATATATCTTTGATTATTATCTATCTATTATATATGTTAGTTCTATTATATTATATATATAATATCGACTTATAATATATAGTTGATCATTGCAATACTAAGATGATCATGATATATGTTGATACATATATATATATTACATCAAAGATCATATTATATCTGGTTGGTAGATTATCAAAGATAGACAAGATAGACAAATATACTATTACATATATATATATATATATATTACAGACTAATTATAGATTGTCAAAGATATTATTAAATATATTATATATGCATAGGTAGATTAGATTTAGAATTAGATTAGATTAGAATAGGATTTAGATAGATGGTTATCGATGGATAGATGTTCATAGACAGACAATGTTTATAGATAGATCCAAGATCCAAGGGATGGGAAGAGGGTTTTCAAATGTTATACACATAATATATATATATTATATATATACCCTCTGGTGAACTAACATAGCTATTGAAAATGGCCCAGTCGAAATAGTGAGTTTTCCCATTAAAAATGGGCCATTTTCAATAGCTATGTTAGTTCATCAGAGGGTATATATATATATGTGCTAGTGTATGTAAATGAATCAAGGCACTGCAGAATTTGACAAGAGCTTAAGTGGAACTTGTCATGACATGGAAAAAATCAGTGGCGTTTTTCACAAAAACTATCCTTAATACTTACTATCCAACAACAACAACAACAACACATTTTTGGCATGCCTCTTGAAGCAGTTAATTTCATATTCACCCAAACCAAACACATCACGGATATTCTGGGATCCACCGGTGATAAGAGCGACATTGGAAGACCAACGTGGACAAGCACGTTGGTCTTCCATGGATTTTTAGTTGAGAATCAGAAAGTACATCAAATGGATTCAAATGCTAGTTTCTTCATATTGTTTGATACTAAATCTGCTTTTGATAGTTTCTCTACAAGACCGTAGAACCTATCAATAGATCTATTGACTTTCTCTTCTAGGTCATCCTAAAAACCCAATCCACTGGCTAAAAAAATGTGCCATGACCCAGCTATAGCTTGCTCCCAGGGCACAGGATTCCATCTGTGAAACTTTGATCATTCCCTTTCACAGCTCATTGAGGCATTGAGTGTGTCTGAAATTTCAGGGGACTCCCAATTTCAATGGATGATCGTCATTTTCACCTCCAAATTGCCCTCCAAATGTGGCGGTTGTTCCCCTCCAAAAATCGCCAACGATCTGATCATGTTGGGATGGTCTGGGTTAAAAACCCAACACCCCCCTGGTGCGAGGATCTTAAGGCACTCATGGTGCATCAAATGTCCTGAGAGCTGGAGAGCTGGGCGGTGTCAGTCACTTGGGATCATCGTCCCTGATTTTTTGGCTGTGAGAACAATGTCGTGGCTATCCAAATCAGTGAACAAACAGAATCATGAATCAGTGCTAAAAGGGAGATGCTGGTTTGCTGGTCTCTATCGTGAGCAACATCGCTTTGACATTCTCGTGTGCCGCTAGCCACATGGCAAGGCTCCAAGGTGCATGCATGTCGAAGATAGATAGTTTTCGCATGTTTTCGCCCCATCACCAGGCTAGCTCCCCATCATATTCACACATATTCATGGTATATTATTCATTGTCATGATGCTTGTCATCGCCGAGTGATGTTTCATCATGGGGAAACCCCATGGTACCCTCTGGTACACATACAAAAAACTAACACTTTGCTATTGAAAATGGTCATAGAAATAGTGGATTTTCCCATTAAAAATGGTGACTTTTCCCATTAAAAATGGTGATTTTCCCATTAAAAATTGTGACTTTTCCCATTAAAAATGGTGATTTTCCCATTAAAAATTGTGACTTTTCCCATTAAAAATGGTGATTTTCCCATTAAAAATGGTGACTTTTCCCATTAAAAATGGTGATGTTCAATAGCTATGTGGCTATGTGGCTACCAGGCCGGGTCTCCCCCGTTGATCACCGAGCCAAGCGTCCGCAGGGCGTTTTTCGGATCATCTTGGAAGGTTCTCCGCTGTAGGACTCCAGGCAGATGCAGCATTCATCTTGTGGCCTTGAGTCCAGTGGGTCCTGGAAAGCACAGGTCATCAATATGTCATGGTCATCCCATCTCCCCAAAATATCCCAAAAAAATATCCCAAAATGCTACACATCACTTAAGATATGGGATATCTATAGATATTTCATTAACATAGTCCCATAATATGTGTATATATAATATAATATATATATATATATCCCATATTTATTTACAAAATATGGATGAATCATGATGAATCATAGATAAAAAATAGGGACTGAAAATTTCACTTAAATCCATCCCACCAGGATCAACCAACAAGTCCAAGCTTCAGTCGGATCCGCAAAGACTTTGGGATCATACTCCAGGATTTCCATGGCCTCAAAGCAGCAGATAAAAAGTGAGTCACCGAAGAGAGGCGACAACGCGTTTTGCCCGGAATGGAAATCGGGAAAAGTCCCAAAAAACTCCAAGGGATGCGGGATTCTTCCTTCGAATGCTGTTGGAACATGATTGTTTCATGTTGTTTTGGGGTCCCAAATGTTCTTAAACGCCCCAAAAACCGTTGGTTGATCATCATTTCTTCCTATTGCACTTGCACTCTAAAATTGGGGGTATCCCCCATGGACAAACTCAGGGGGAAGTGTCACAGCTGGAGCGCCGCCAGGAATCGTCAGTGGGATTCCTAACCGAAAAATATCGAACATTGAAAATGAGCAAATACTAATCATAGATCATCAAATATAACTCCAATTACTTCACTTCGAATGATCCCCACCATGACATTTATACATTTTCTTACTGGCAAATCTTCTGGCATTCTATCTGACATATCTTCTGGCATTCTATCTGGCATTCTATGTGGCATATCTTCCGGCATATGTTCTGGCATATCTTCTGGCATATCTTCTGGCATTCTATCTGGCAAATCTTCTGGCATTCTATCTGGCATATCTTCTGGCATTCTATCTGGCATTTTATCTGGCATATCTTCTGACATTTTTTCTGGCATTCTATCTGGCATATCTTCTGACATTCTATCTGACATATCTTCTGACATTCTTTCTGACATTCTTTCTGGCATTCTATCTGGCATATCTTCTGACATTCTATCTGACATCTTTTCTTCCCGTTGAGGTCCGGCAGTGCCCAATGCGATCTGGAAGTCGCGGTTGAGGTCCGGCAGTGCCCACTGTGATCTGGAGCTCGCGGTTGAGGTCCGGCAGTGCTTAGTGCGACCTGGAAGTCGCGGTTGAGGTCCGGCAGTGCCCACTGTGATCTGGAGCTCGCGGTTGAGGTCCGGCAGTGCTTAGTGCGACCTGGAAGTCGCAGTTGAGGTCCGGCAGTGCCCACTGCGATCTGCAACTCGCGGTTGAGGTCCGGCAGTGCCCACTGGGATCTGGAGCTCGCGGTGGAGGTCCGGCTATGCCCACTGGGATCTGGACTGCGAGGAGGAGGCGGAGGAGGAGGAGGAGGCGGATGCGGGCGGAGGAGGAGGAGGAGGAGGAGAACAGCTCTGATAAAATCTAACAACCCTCACCTGGCAGGTGGGGAAAATATGCTGATCTTTGGTAGATTTAAACAATTACATACTAAACATATACTAAGCATCATCAACGGCAAATGTGTTTTTTCGAAAATGGCTAAGCAAAACGTGCCGCCGTTTCAATCGTGGTCACATCACTATGAACGACCCATTTTTAAGCGACAATCAGTTAGCCCTTCCGATAAATCATGGTGCAGACTGAAACAATGAAACCAAACCCAAGTATGACTCAATGACCTGCGTTCTGGGTTATGTGTAAAATTATAAAGTATATGTCACCATGTATGTTGATGAAACCCCTGTTTCTGTTGGCTCTTAAAAAATTTGGTTGGTTGGTCGGTTGCTGCAACTCCCCATGATGGTAAATCCCCAGTTACATCCCGTTGCTATAGCCATCACCCTCACTCTTCAGGTGTTATATCTGGTTGGTGGTTTCAACCCCTCTGAAAATATTAGCCAGTTGGGATGATTATTCCCAATATATGGAAAAATAAAACATGTTCCAAACCACCAACCAGATATATATCATGCTAATAACCCCATGTTCGTTGCTCCAAATGCTATCAAATATCGATGTTTGACACTCAAAAAAAAATGCTGCTTGATACCCGATTCGTTCTTGATTGTAACCCCTCCATACGGGCATGTAAAAAACCTAAGTTTGGCAAACAAAAACGATTTCGTGTAGCAAAAATATGCATTTAAAAAAAAAAAAAAACATGCAAATTCCCTATGTTTGTTGGCTAATCCCCATGAAATCGTCGATTCAACGGGATCCACAACAGTATCCGCGAGAGCCCAACGGGATGGTGGCACTGCGGATCTCATAACCACAGATGCAAATGGCCAACCATTTTTTCGGTGATTTTTAGGTGATTTTTGTGACATGGAATTGTTGAATCCTCCCATTTGGTTTCTTATATTTTCTTAATAACTTCTATTCCCATAAGATGGTAGGTATACTGATATATATATATACTGGATTTTACTGGTTGGTGGTATACCTACCCCTCTGAAAATCAAAGGACCGGATAACCCCACATATCAATTTCTTCTAATGATCACCAAGCAGATGAGAAAATGAGATGGGAATGGCAGGAAAGAAAAGAGATGGTGTAAGACAGGTTGGGTGAAAGAGCCGTGTGTGACAGTGTTGCGTGTGCAAGTTTGTGTACATAAACGTGTGAAAGAGTTGTATGTGACAAAGCTGTGCGTAAAAGATTGTGTGTGTGTGAAAGAGATGTATGTGACAAAGTGTTGTGTAAAAGAGTTGTGTGTGAAAGAGTTGTGCGCATACATTGTTGCAAGTGCTGTTGCCTTTGTGGTTCGTTCTTGTTGCTATTGGTTTTGTCATTGCTGTTGCTGTTGCTGCTTTGTCAAACCACTCAAGACAAAAGCCGGATCAGTGTTTGATCCAAGGATTCATCCAAAATGCTGAAGCATAATGCGAAAAGCAGCAGCAAATTCTTCCTTGGCTCTGCACCTGTGTTCCGCATCGATTCGAGAAAAAATGCAGCGCTATGCAACTGCAGTTGCAAAGTGATGGCAAGGAGACAAGTTTCCACTGCAGCTCAGACATTAGTTATCATCAGATATCTCCGTATCGGCGTCACCACGCCTGCCGCGCAAAGTGAAGGTCGATGTCGCCAAGTGCCATGCCTGCCACGCAAACAGCCGCGGCGCCCACGGCGTCAACTGGGAACCAAGCGCGCCACCAGAGCCAGCCCAGTGCCATGAGTGCCACGCCTGCCACGCAAAGTGCAGGTCCATGTCGCCAAGCGCCACGCCTGCCACGCAAAGTAAAGGTCGATGTCGCCAAGTGCCACGCCTGCCACGCCAACAGCCACGCCTGCCACGCAAAGTGACGGTCGATGTCGCCAAGTGCAGTGCCACGCCTGCCACGCAAAGTGACGGTCGATGTCGCCAAGTGCAGTGCCACGCCTGCCACGCAAAGTGAAGGTCGATGTCGCCAAGTGCCACGCCTGTGTGTGAGTAAGTTGTGTGTGGACAAGTTGTGTGGTGACAAGTTGTGTGGTGACAAGTTGTGTGTGGACAAGTTGTGGGCGGCGGGCGAGAGGCGGGAGGCGGGCGGGCAGGGCGGAAGTGCACAACCAAAAACAAGAACCCCACACAAAGATGTGGGGAAATATGACTTCGTCAGTTGGGATGATGGCATTCCCAATATATGGAAGTCATAAAAATCATGTTCCAAACCACCAACCAGTATATATATATATTCCCTAAATACATATATATATATAGAGATATATACTGATATACATATATATATATATAATATATACATACCCATATATTTCCATATTATCCCATTACATTACCATCAACCAGCCATGAAGAAACTGCGTCGTGCCTCAACAGCCTCAGGCGCCCCTGAAAACAGTCGACCACCTCGTTCGGCCACGAAGGGCAACCAGCCGTGACGTGCCAGAAGCAACAGCAGCCGGACACCTCAACACGGCCCGTTTGGAAAATCACACATGGTTTATTGGGATTCAAACATGAACAAAATGGATTTCATGGGATTTGTGATTTACGGAATATCATGGTGATACAATGAGATACAAACTTACATTATGATATATGATGATATATGGGTGTGTCTGGAAATGGGGTATTCATATTCGGGAACATGGATTAAACCATGGATGGGGTAGCCTATTTTCAGACCCCATATGCTTTGTAGCTCATCCCACTTACTAAGTATAGCTTATAAAATCTTATAACTTACGACCCTAGTGATCAGTGGATGAAGCCTACAAAAGCCACCCTTCAATCAGGGATATAACCTACTTAGTACGCGGGACGAGGCCACTTTTCCGCATCTTTTTTGGGGGTTGCTATTACACGCTACTGCAAAAATGATGCACCAAGTGGTTTCATCCGTATAGCCATGACAATGCTGTGACAAAATGTAATCAGTCATGAACTCTTGACTGGACTATATCTATATACATACATACATACATACATATATATATATATCCATATATATATATGTATACGTATAATATATATATATATATATCTTTATTTATTTATATTTATGTATACACAAAAATACATAGTCACGATGCATTTACGGCCATTTATGTGGATAAAACGGAGGGTAATCCAAAGTAGAGCTCATCTGGCTTTCATCGGCTGGGTTCCATGACTTGTAGTTCGTTGCTTTCCTGACCAATCATCATGTTTGTTGCTTCAACCTCATTTTTGGTGGTTTTAAAACATGGTCAAACCATATCCATTTCCTTGTTTTTCTGTTCACATCTTCTTGTCACTTCAACCCCCAAAAGACCAACAAAAACCTCTGAAATCAGAACCCCAACAGAAAAAATCGGCGTTCCGCATGGCCTAAACTGTTGGCGCATAGCAATGCACAATGCAGGCCATGCAGAAGTAGTGCTAAAACCGAGAACCAGCGAAGGAAGACCACCATCGAGGGGCTGGTCTCGGCACACCTGGCTTGCGATGGCTCAGGCGATGGCTCCAGAATGGCTCCAGAATGGCTCCAGATGGCTCCAGCAAGGGAAGAACGGGTGGAAAAAAACAACGCATGGCTACCTGGGGATTAAGTTGAAAATAGGCTTGGTTCACCAACATAATCCAAGGATATTACAATGATATATATATATATATCATATATATATCATATATATATATCAATATCGGAAATAAGGATTGATTCTTTCAATAGATGAGAAATGTGATGGGATATACAACCAACAATATGGCAGTGAAGTTACGCATATATTTGTGGCTATAACCAATATGGCAGTTCTTTTCCAGACCCCATGAAAGAAGGGTTCAATGTTAAGCTTAGGGGTGTACCTTGCTTTAGGTGCCGAACATCTTGCAGTAGAACATTTATGAACATATCACTGGGTTGGTTTAATGGACACACATACAGAAACAAAAACAATTGTTTTGTCACTTCATCTGTGTTTTTCTCCCGAACTTCTGAATCAATTCGGGAAAAATGGGAACAGAATGGAACAGAGTGGAGAACAAGTTACTCCCAGTAGTTTCATGGCATTTCACTTTCTATTTATTTTGTCCTTATGGATCCCCTTGGTCCAGGGTTTCTGATCCCAACTGTGACTAGTTTTGGTCGAGAGAATTCCGGCGAAAACTTTTGTTCATCCATTAGTTGTCCCGGATTCACCATTGTCATTTATGAACCATAGATGTCACTGCCTATATATGTATAACATACTGTAAATAATAGTATATGTATATATATATGTGTGTGTATTTATATATATATATATATGTATTTATATATATATATATATATGTATATGTATATATGTATATGTATATATATCAGGTTGACATCTTTTTCATTTCAAGTACCACACGTGCGTGTTTCTTCACCCACAGGATGAGCCCGAAAAAACTCGGGTTCCGGGCGTCTTTGACTTCAGCAAGAGGCTGCGGCCATAGAGTAGCCACAGCACAGCCTCAGCCGGCGGGTGAGTTTGGATCTGTTTTTAGCCATGATTGCGTACATACACCATCTGGTTATGACTAACATAGCCATGAAAAGATCCACCCATTTTTAATAGGTAGACCCAGGTAAACCATCTGTAAATGGGCCATTTTCCATGGCTATGTTAGTCATAACCAGAGGGTACCATATTAATGAATAGCGTACATAAGCCACTTTTCATGGCATTCCATGAAATACATTGAAATACTGGTTGGTCAAGAACTGGATTTCCAGCATGGATTATGAAACAAAATACGAAAATCACCACGAAAAGTTGGGTAGTCGAACCCCCCCGAACTAATCATCAACCAACAGGGGTTTAGCAGGCAGCAACTGCTCAAATTCTTTGGTGACTTTGCATTTCCATGGTTTGGCTGGAAGAAAGTCCTGCTGAAGTTTACTGGATGGATGTTGTACATGGCTATGAGTCAAAATGCATAATCAATTAAAACAGTATCCAAATCTGTCGTCCCCGTCACTAGGTCTACCCATGGTAGTCTAATCTTCAATAAAACAGCATCAAGATCATGATACCCTCTGGTAAACTAACATAACTATGGAAAATCACTATTTTCAATGGGTAAATCCAATATAAATGGCCATTTTCAATAGCAAACTGTTAGTTTACCAGAGGGTAAGTTCTGGATTGCCAACCGGCATGTTCAACAGCTGCCCTTCACGATGTTTGCCAACCCCATGTCCAAGCCATTCATCTGAGATGACCAAGCTGATAAAATGGGCAGTAAAACATAGTAAAACCCATATGTATACAGTAAATAAAATGTGTATATATATAATTATATGTATCTGTATATGTATATAATTATATATTTACATGATTGTGTATATATATATGTACACATATCATCCTGTAGTAGAAATGCAAACATCTTTGAACATCCCATAGTCCATTGATCATTATATATCTACTTCAGGATGATTTTTTGATCATCATTTCCTGTGTCATCCTCCAGTGCCGAAAACAAACAAGTCGTCACCCAAGCTGATCTTCTCCCATAATCGTATTCAGGTCCCCAGGGGTCGGGGTTAAGGCTACGTATAGGAATGGTATGACCTTTTGACCAACGGTTCCAAAAGGGGCCATGAGGCAACAACGGGGTTCAGCCGTTCCAACGTACTCTTCCACGGTCGTTCCTCAGAGACCTGCATGACTCAATGTATGCTGGGCAAATTGGCCAACCTCTACATATTAAAATGTTGCCTTTATAACGTCAAAAATGATAGATAAATCACTTTCCTATCTTTTCCGGGGCATGGGATTACTATATATAACTATATAATTATATATAGTTGTGTTCTTGAGATTTGTGAAACAAAAACAATTTTGAGAAACAGAAGGAGGGAGACGTACCCATCCCTGCCTGAAAAAGGACTGGTCTGCACATGTACATGAAGGTCAGATAGCACAGGTAGACTCCCAGCCATGACTCCAAGGGAACCTGAGTGGAATCCACACAGAATCCGACGCTGAAACTCTGTGCATCCTGATTCATATTTTGTTTATGTTTTGTTCGTAATATGAATATGTTTAGATTATGTTTGTAGTATGTTCATGCGTGTGAGTTTATGTTCATTTATTACGTTCCTTTATGCCTATTTGGATCACTTAGCAGCCTGATCATGGATGTGATCAGCAGTTTTTGATCCTGGTTTGGTAAAAGAACGGCCAAGATGTGGAAAAAAACTGGCTGGTTTCCCCTGAACGGAGCAATGACATTTTTGTTTGAATGGTGGAACCCACAATCTTCCATTTTTTCGAGCTAGCTCAAAACATGTAGCTGGCTCAATTTCATCAGGGGTATGTTTTGACAGTCACCTTGGGCTTTTTCAGAGGTACCATATCTAGTACTAAAGTCATCAGTGGGGACTGAACCTGGCAATTTAACACATTGGGAAGTTTCTGCGAGCTCGCTCAACTGCAACGAGCTGGCTCAGCACCATCGAGCTCGCTCAAACACATCGCTCTAGCTCAGGGGCATCGAGCTAGCTCAATGGCATCGAGCTGGCTCAATTTTTTCAACGAAAAAAAAAAAAAAAAAACGCCAAAAAAATTGAGCCAGCTACGTCACGTTGAGCTGGCGGACGAATGTGAGAGCATCAAAACGAATACTAACTATGTATTGGCCGGGTTCATGACGCATTGGCGAGCCGGCTCAAGGGCATGTAGCCGGCTCAATTTCTGCGAGGTTTTTTTTCTTTTTTTTTCGCTAAAAAAATTGAGCCAGCTACGTGGCGCTGAGCCAGCTACGAGGCGCTGAGCCAGCTACGTGGCATTGAGCCAGCTACGTGGCACTGAGCCAGCTACGTGGCACTGAGCCAGCAAGGTAGCTTTGAGCTTTGAGCTAGCAAGGAGGCAGTGAGCCAGCAAGGTAGCTTTGAGCTTCATCAAATATATATATATATACCTATGCAATCCCAACCATATAATATACTAAATCTAGGGCAAAACAATTTTTTTGAGGGAGACACGTACCTTTGAGCTGGAGCGGGAATGTGAAATCTACCATTCGATTTGTTGGTAGGTGAAAACCACATCTATGTTCGTTTAGAGGGTTTAAAAAGGGACAAAAAGATCAACACAATTAAATATATGTCGTGTATTCTGATGTATAAATTCAATAAATCAATATTCTTATAGAAAAGCCACCATAAGAAAACCACGTTCCACATCTGTGCATGTCGCTTAAATCAAAAAAATCGAAGCACGGTCCGACTGTCCAGGTACATCACAGGGCTGGAGCAAATGGGAGAGCCACATGATCCACCCAAACCTTGGCTTCTCACGGGCTGATAATCATCCCAGCTTCCCAGAGGTTCCCAGTGAAATAACCATTGGGGGGGTTGATCATACCCTCTGATAATTTGTTACAGTTGTGTAAATAGAAAATAACCCATTTGGAGTTAATTTACCATATTTACCTATTCAAAATGCTGATTTTCTGCTATGTAAACGTTTACCAGAGGGTATATCTCCTTTTAAGACATGGACAATTCGATCAGGGGACCACCACGTGATTTTGTTGGCGGTGGTGGATCCCAACAAGCATTCGGCTGACAAGAATTGCAGTGGCATCAGAACTGGACTGTTTAGTGTTGGGTCATTCCCATACCCATAGGATCCATGGTGCTGGTATATATGCTAACATTTGGGGTATATTGATGGTATATGCTAACCATATGATATATATAGCATACATGGATCCTATGGGATATGCAAAAGAGATCTCTGGGCTTTGTCGATTTGAATCTTTCATAATCAAGCAGCGGTTTTCTCCGCGATCATAAGTTGTTTCTGCTGTGTTTTGACAAAGATCACTGGAATGTTTTTGTGACATCCCAATGATAGCAGAGTCACAGATTTTCACCAACCAACCCAGATGCGAAATAAAACACATTAAAAACTCCATCTTACTGTGGTTGCGAAATCCGAATCACCAGTTGGTATATGGTGTGTCCCATTATGATACCAAAAAAAATTACGATAATGTAACACATACCCACTATAATCACCATGATAATCACCATATCGTAACTACCATCTTTTTATCACCATGTTTCTTCCACAGTATCAGGAGTCAATTTCGCCACTGGCTACTCCAGTGACTGCCGCTGAGACCCCCACCAGTAGACCAAGATCAGCATAGGCGGTGTCAACGCACAGGCTGTGGTGGTGGCTAACAAGACAGCCACGCTAATCAGGAGGATACATAAACTCCTGAGACCGAAAAACTGAGATCGACCAAATTCCGTCCATATGGAGTTTGTTCGAGGGGAAATTCACAGGAAAACCATGGAAAACCCGAAACCCTGTGACATATTCGATGGTTTTTGCTAGTAGTGGTCATGAGTCATGAGTCATAAATGCTAATCAGATGTAATATGATGTATACAATGAGTTGTTTCTTGTATGTTTTTTGTTGTCTTATAAACCATTGTAGAAAAATTATAGACAAGATAAAAGTTGTCATGGTTCCCAAAAGTAATCCTCAAACCAATCGATCCCATTGCCTCATAGCCTGG